CAGGAAAGAAGGGAATGGGGGGGAATAAAGGGGACTTGGCTCAACAGCGGTGGCTTTCTGATTTTGTTTTACTTGTAAATAAAGTCTCGACTCCCAACAGCCGAGCCAGACCGGGCGACAGAGATGGAGGCGAACTCAAAAGGGATCCGGCTGCCCTATTGCAGATTTGTTGGCGGGCTTTAGCTCCAGCTTGTTGTCAGGCTGCTTGCTGATGTTCCTCTCCTCCTCCTCCTCCTCCTCCTCCTCTTCCTTCTCCTCTCCCCCGGGGGGCTTTCAAGCACCTGAGGGAAGGGCAGCGGCTGAGAAAGGAGGCGGTGGGGGCGGCGGTGGTGGTGGTTGTGTCAGGGCTGGCTCTCGCTCCTCGCTCTCCTTGGCCAAGGATGTCGGCTGGCCGTTCCGACGCCGAGGGAAGAAGAGGCAGGACTCGGCAAAAGGACCAGCGAAGGGAGAGTGAGGAGGACGCGCTGGGTGAGCGCGGGAAGAGCGCGTCGCTCTGTGTGTGTGTGTGTGCCCGTCCGTCTGCGCGAGGGTGCGCGCGTGAGGGAGGAAGAATGGGGATGTGTGTGCGCGTGTGGGTAAGCGCTCCGGTGTCTGTGCGCTCTGCTCCCTCTCGAACGCGCGCTGCTCTCTCGCTCTCTCCCCTGTGGCGAGTGCGCCCTGCGCTCCGGAGCGCGCGCGCAGGCACACACACACACACACACACACAAATACGGGGTAGGGGGAAGAGAAAGAGGCGCGCGTGAGGTCCACAGAAATTCCCTCACTCTGAAGGCACCCGTGCTGGTCCTTTTGCGCGATGCTCCCATTGGGGTCCTCGCCGCGCGGCGCAACCGCGGGTGCCTGCGAGACGGATGCGATGGGTGGGCGGCTGGGGTGGAGGTTGCGAAGCCGGCCCGCCGGCAGGCTTCCCTCCCGGGTTCGGCAAGTGGGCCCGCCGCCGTCGCGGTGCGATTTTGCACGTCACAGCTACTCAATCCCAAGCACGTCTTTCCCGCCGCCGCCGCCGCCGCCCCCCCTCGCTCCGCCGCCGCTCCTTTCGTCTTTCCCCCCCCTCCTCCCCTGCCCACAACAACCCGGTCTTTTTTCTGCGTCTGGGAGGTTTTTCTAGCTCCAGTTCCCACACCGCCGTGGCTGGCTTCGAGCGAAACTCTCTGAGGCTGGGCTAGCGCGCGGGAGAGAGAGAGAGAGAGAGGGAGTGAGGGAGCAAGCGCAGCCTTTGATCTCTCTCTCTCTCTCTCTCTCTTCCTTTCCGCTCCGTTCCCGAGCCCGACTCCCGCCTTCGGACTTGGCTTTCAACGCGGAAAGCCCTCTGTCGCAGCCCCAAGAGCTGTCACTTCGCCACGGCGTTGCAGATTTAAATGATCTGGCGCTCCGAGGGAAAACATCGCGGCTCCCCGCTTTCAAAGTGCCGCCTTCCACTGGCGGGAACAATAGCAATGTTCTCGGCGAGGCCGCAATTAACACCTTGTATGTTCTTGGCTCCCCAGGTCGAGGTTCTGGGGTGGCTCAGGACTGTGGCCGCCCGGATTGTCAGGGCTCGGGAGGAACGCGATCAGCCTGCGAGAGCCAGTGATTTCCAGGAGCCTATGATTCCTTTCTCTTCTTGCTTTTCCCCCCTTTTTTTCCCGGCTCGCCCCTCAGCCCTTCGGTTTCTTTTCGATAAGTTACCGTCTTGGGGGGGGGGGCGGGGGGATGTGTAAGAAGGGGATCCTTTTTTTTGCACCGTCTTCTGCCTGTTTGTGGCGGCAGGAGCTTCGCTGACTTTCATTTCGTGGTCGCGGTAAGGGGATGCCCGATGGCGTAAATATGCAGTCAGATGGTTGATGCAGGTTTAACACACACAGAGACACACACACACATACAAACACCACTACCTCCCCCTTCACCCCACGGGACAGTTTAAGACCAGTGGCATAAAACGGAATGGCTTCTGAAAGCTCAGGTTAGCCTGTCCGGATTGATTGCTGGAAGCGAAAGGAACGCAACTCGATGGCAATAGACATGAATGGGCTTTTTTAAAAAAAGCATTATTAGAACTGCACTGCAGGCGAAAAGGAAGGCAAGTCAGGTGTATAACTGAGCCGTGGGGTTTGCCGGTGGGATCCAGCAAACCCAGAGGAATGCCGCTAAGAAGGTGTGTGTGATCGGCGGTGTGTGTGATCGAGGTAAGGAAAGGAGGGCAATGCAAATAGGTGATCAAGCATTCGTCTCAGGCCGGGGAGGGATGAGTACTGAGGATGCTGCGTCAGTGTCCAGAGTCTAGTGGGGAGCCTATCTGGAGACCTGGATAATCGCTGAAAAGTAAA